CGGACTCTGCGTGCACTTTGATAATGTCAATGGACCGAGAATTCCTTCAGTAATAACGATTTTTTTCCAGTTCCACAATTTTGAACACAAGTTCTATGTAATATTATATTATTTAATATTTTTACACGATACACATAAAACATAGCCATGTGGCACGTAGGTACACATAAATATTATAAATTATAATATTATACGGCCATCATCTGAAGTACGATATCGATATAGGTATATTAGGTACCTAGGTATCATATACTATGCGGATTCTTCATGTAAAAATAATACTTTTTTTTTATCAGCTATTCGTTTTATAGTCTGGGCTGAGTTCAAATAATAGTCAAAATTAAAATGCTAAATAACTTCAACGTTTTTAGATTTTGAGCGTTTATATTAATTGTTTCCCATTCAAATATTTATTCAATTTACTGGTAGTTATACTTGCATTTTCCGATATATAATAAGTATACATTATGTAGGCACATAATTACTACTCATTACTCTGTATACTCTTTTAGTCTTTTTCTATATTTACTCTTATACTCCTCATCAATTCAAAATAGTAAACTACTCTATCGCATTGTATTGATAGCTATGTTTTTAGTATTTACCAAGCACCTAAGCAGTTAATAAATATTTTGTTCAAGATAAAAACGTATAAAATAATACTCTTAAATCACTTTTAAATTCATGTATATCAATGATCACCCTTTATAAAAAAATATATATTTAACTCGTATTACCTTATTGTAAAAATAGTTAATAGTTCATTATATTATGTTTAGTTAGTTAAATTTTATTTATTAATAAAATAAGAACAAAACCATATTTTTCGTAAGCCTTACATTATCAAGATTTTAACTGCAGCTAACGCAGATTTAAATTTTAGTCTCAACCCCATCGCTTATTTCATCACTTGCAGTGCACAGGTTAATTGTCCGCCAATTAATACATCGCACATATAGACAATATGAAGACGGCAATTTCACACATTTGAGTAATGTTCTACAGTAATGTGTACAAATTAGACAATAGGAAATAATCGGATTGACACGTGTAGGGAACGTGACCTTCGTGGTTCGTTGCATTTCTAAAAAAAACAAAGGGGTCTGATATGGTATTTTTTATCATTGATATATCTAATACAAAAATAATAAACGTCTGTTGATCTTTATCCAATGAGCCTACTTGCCTACTTATAGATAGGTATCGTGTATTCATGTATAATAAATGAAACTATTATATGCCATTTGATGTTTTCCTTGGTGTACAGCCATGACAATAATAATGCGTTTATGATGATGTTTTATTTTCATCTTATTCCACAATTGAAACTAACACGCGAAAAATCGAGGTTAGCGGCGTGAGGTTAACGCGGGGAGAGTTTTACTAACCAGTCTCGATCTCGACCTAGTATAACGCGGGAGGCGGTGAAACGTATGTAAACATCGTAAACATAAGGAACCATCACCGCGGATGGGCTTCACGGTATAACGTCGGACAACTATTATAATTAAAAATTATTATTTATTAATTAGTGGGTACAGGAAGATAGCGTAGTCGATAGATTAAAAAAATATTATTTTTATTTTACTTTACCTACTCATATAGATAACCGTGTATAGAAGAAACTGCGTATAGTGTATTCCCATATTTAATTTATTAGTTTCTCGGACATTCATCACAAAAATGTTCATAAGCCTCCAATATACCAGAAAATATGAATTAAAATCAAATACATAGGTACTTACATAAAATGTACATACCGTAAAAATGAGATAGGTACCTATGTGTTGATTGCTATTTACAAATTTCTTTAATGAACTCCATATTTTATTTTTCTTAGTGATTGTCAATTTTGATAGTACCGTATTTCAGTAGTTATAATACAAAATGTAATATACGAATCTAACCAGATAGTTATACTACTCTTTTTTAAATTTGACGACTTCAACAAATAGTATATTATGTTATTTTGATAGTACTGATATTAGATGGCTGTGATACAGATGTTGTATGTAGTTTAGACGTAAGTGTAAGTCTAGCTTCATAGATGCATTCAGCGGCAGATATAGGAATGAGGGGGGTGGCAAGCAGTGGCTGTTGTCCCAGGGTGTCGGGGCGCCTCAAATCTCAGTGACAGACTCTTGAATATTTAAATATTTAATTTAAATTAAGATTATTATACAACTGTTACTACCTAGCTCTTATATTTATAACAATAATTACAATTTGGTACAGAACTTGACACAGGGTATAGTGAGTACAGTAATTATTATTTATTATAGTCGTTACTCATTACATATTTCAACAGGTTACTGTAAACTAGTCAGCTGACACTACCACAGTCGGTGTTTTCGAAGTATTTGTAATAATGTTAATGTATTTATGTATAAAAAAAATTTAGTGGTGCTGGAAATCGGGAACGAGAAGAAGAATTAAATAACTTTTCCAAAAAACAGACGGAGGCATGTAATAGTTAATAATCGTATAGTTGTGTCTATGTACATAATTATACAATTTGTTGATATAAAAACATTAAAAATGTTTTTTATTGTTTGGGGGGAGGTAGTTTAAGAGGAGCCAAAATTAAATTTGCTCTTGGTGACAAATAACTTAAACCCGGCACAGGCTTCATAAATAAATCCAGCTATATTGTTAAATGATTTATTTTTATTTGTTGTAACAATTAAATATTATTGTTATAGTTTATCTTTATACATTTAAACAACTATACGAAAATAAGTTTGTTTTTTTTTTTAGTTCATGCTCTCACTGCTGATGTATTTTCTAATTACATTAAATAGTGACATCGATTTAGTTGTATTGTAAACAATATTTCTACTAAGAGAGTTTAATGCAATTTAAGATTTACTTTCGTATATAAAAAAAAATATCTTTCCCATAGTTGATTTAATCATCAGCTATTAATTGGCAACCGTATCGACGGAAAAAAATATTCACCGAGACAATTATTTTGCTTTATTTAACATAGTTCAAATAACACATATATATTACTATGGTAGGTAACTAAATAATAATAAAAAAATATTTTAGACTTGGTATTTAACTTGTTGTATAACTATATATTAAGTTTAATCAATTTCAGTTTAGTTAAATTATGATCCTATTGTCTAACTGTATGTATTATTAATTGCTTAAACAAAAAATAAATTATTAGTTCATTGAAAGATATTGGTAGGTGATTTTATTAAGCAATAAGCACTGTAAGGAATTATAATGGGTAAGTACTAAGTAGTATAATTATGACAGTAAGAAATATTATATTTAATGTCAGATTGTATTGGATGTATTCATGTATTCTACAGTTCACGAGAAAATTATTAAATTATAATAAGATATTAAAATCATGATAAATTAATTAGTAATGGATGGGAAATGTATGGAAACATTTTAAACGGCTTCTGACTCTTTAATATTTTGGAATTTAAAAATTCTGATATTTTTTTAATAGGTCACTTTTAAAATTGTATAGAAAAGATAATTATTAAGTTATTTTTCTGTAACAATAAAAATAGTCCAAAAGACATGATATTTTTAACGATTTGTTTAAAATAATTTTATGAATGCAATAACTTATGATTAGTGTCGATAAATGATAATGCAGCGATTATTTTTAAATTTATATTAGGTACTATAGTTTTCCAACACTGACTTGCGCTAAAATCCAGGCGATTTCTCAACACAAATTCCCAGTATTCTGGCCAGTGTGGCAGTGTCTCTGCGTTGTTTCTAATAGTATTTTTTTTTTATCGTCTGCTTAATAATCACATAAATTAGTTCGTTATACCTAATTATACCTAACTGGGCAATAAAGGAAGAACGATTTGGGCGTATTTTAAGCTAAAAAAATTAACCATACCATAAATTCTATACCTTTACTAAGTGATTTCTATATGGAAGTTACAATTCATAAAATAGCAAAAAGTTAAGCAAAATACTTATAATTTTAAATTGATCTTTTTTAAAAATTTTCCATGTCAAAAAGGACGTCACGCATTTGTTGTCTCCATTTTACGAGACAATTTTACAACACCAATTTATATTCGCAGATCACGTTTGGTTTGATTACTTAATTCTTTGAATACTTGAGTGAATTGACTACCTATCTTCGGATTTTTTTGATTTTTCAAGTTCAAACAGAGTTAAAAATATGTTAAAGCTTTTTAAGAAAACGTTCATAACATCACTTGGACATTAAAATATAATAAAAACCTCAGAGAAAACACAGATAATATGTTATTAGTTTATTACCTTTAAATTTGACAATATTAAGTAAATTCACTAAAAAAAAAACGCACAAAACTAAATGTGAACTGCCGAATGTAATAAATATAGGTGCCCCAATAATATTTAATTATTTTTTCAACTTGTTATCAATTATCAGCCGACAAACCGTGGGTTATATCTACTTTTTTGTGTGTAGTACTATTCTTTATAGTATCATACCATTTAGTGAATAAAGATATAAAAATTGAAATAACGCACACTCGTCATCAATACAGTCAATACAATCGTTATTCGTTTTGGTTTACAATAATGAACAATATATTATGTATTATGTACCTCAAAAATTGATAGTTGGAACTAAGAAAAAAAATTCCAACTAGTTTACACATCCCTACCAGCCGAGGTTGCGCCACTGATATTAGTGATAGGTACCAAGATTTCGTTGCTTTTTTAATTTTTGACTATTGAGCTCTTTGACAATTTAAAATTTAACTTATTAACTATACACGATATATTTATTTTATATGTTTAAAGGAATCAATATATTAAAAATAGTTTTCTATAATTAGTTCAACATTTTTAAAAATCAGTACGAGTAAAATATAAATAGGTGCAAATCAGTACCTAATTATCGTTCTGATTTATAGTAGCCTTTAAATTGTCAATATAACCATTAATCAGTCATTACTCATTACTAATCAGCTAGTAGGTAGTAGGTACTCTATAGATATCCATTTATTTTTAAAAACATTTACCTTTTTAAAGAATCTTCCAATTTAAGCACCGGGAAACGAAGTCATGATTGCTAAAATCTTTACAGTGAATTAAATACTTTAAGCACAATTATTCACGAAACTATCAATGCACGTATATTGTTATTTATTAAAAAATATAATGAAGTTCACTTTGTTTGAATAAAAACAGAATAATATTATTATCATAAATCGATATATCCAAGGTACACCAACCGCACGTCTACCTATCGGTGGTTTCGGTCGCGATACTGCAGTGGTACGTTTGCGTTAACCGTCTAACGGTAACATCTATAACGACTAACGATTCTTTCACTTTACTCCCACTTTAAACATCCATTTGGACTTTGGTATTGCATGTGGTTTTATGGTTTCTGTTTACAGTTTTTCTATAAAATAAAAATTATCAACTCGCCTCACAACAAGATTTTAGGATATAAGCACTGACCTGATTTAAATCAGTGAAATATAAACATTAATTCCAAGTTAATTGATTTTTTTTATAAAATAAAGTTTTGAATTTATAGAGCTATTTCAATTTGTTTGTATAATATCATGTAATAACTAATTTGTATTTTTAAATGTTTTTGATTGTACATACAAATATAATTAGCTCTAATAAGTAGATAGGTAGCTATAATATATATAACACAAATTTTAACTTTAGTTACGATTAGGCAGTACTTACAAATGTGTAGGTAATTTCAATAATTATAGACTATAGTTAGGTTAGGGAGATTTTCTTCGATGTTATATAATGCAGCATAAAAGGAAAATTATTCGTTAAACGAATTTCGTTTAACTGAATCTTCACAAATAAATATCATATTCAATTATATTGAATGAATAGTTTTTAAATGAGTACCTATAAAGTCGTTTTGTTTTTGTATATTTAATTTACAATATACAAATTAAATTTTCAATACTAATTGTTTGAAGTAAAAACTAAAGTCAATTAAAGAAATATTTTCAAGCAAAAAAATGTATATATGGTACCTGCTTAAAATAATTTTAGTTAATTTTTTTACTGTATTTGAGAATATCTCCACCTAGAGTACAATATTTAAATTTGCTGAAAAAAAAGATAAAAAATGTGTTGACATAAATGTTTAATGATAGGAAATGCTTGTTTTCTAGCAGCAACAAAACTCTCAATATTTTAGTTAATGTAAACAAAAATATAAAAACTTATACATTTGAACGTGAAACAAAGGTTACCTTTTGGACAAACAATTAAATATGGCTAAATGTGTGAAAGCTTTATAAAGTTGTTTGTTAAGGCTGAAATTATTTATGTTATAAAGATAATTTTTTTTAAGTAAATAATTAAGATGGTATATCTTTTTAAATGGGTTCAAAGTTTCAGCCATCGGATTATTTTTACTTTGTATACAATTATGATTTCCAGATAGGTGATAAATAATTAACATAAATAATTATAAATAATAGTCAACAGATTAAAATTAAAAAATAGTGAATATTTAGCAATACATATAAATATTTTTTTTAAATCAAAAATCATACGCATATGATAATATGCGTTTATAACTATAGCCAATATTGGTATACCTATTATAATGTTTGGCAAGATACCTACTAATTACTACCTAGGTACATTTGATTTGTCAATGGTTTGTTCTTCAGTGAGGATCGATGGATCAATGAAATGAATACTGTTGTCTGTTCAGTAAAATCTTTTGTGTAATATACCAACTCCTTACAGTAGCAATAAGTATAATGCAGGTACATACTAACATACTCGTAAATGACTCATCGTATTGGAGTCAAATTTTTAGGAAGGATACTCGATGAATCAGAAACTGTAACATGTAAATAATAAATACAAACACAATGTATAAATGATCGTTTTTATTGAAAATCATATAGTCATAGGTAGTGTTATATAATTTTATATTCTTTTCTTATAAGCATTTTTGCGAGGGTATATCATCGTGTACACTTATTTGTATTCATTCAGTTCGTGTTATCATGGTCGTACGGAAGAGTTTTGGACAAAATTACATAGGCAGGTACCTATACAAGAAAATAAATCGATCGGTGTTTATTGACTGTGACTCAACCATGTGCATTATATTTGTTTATACCGGAACCAAACAAACTATGTGATAAATATTTTATCATCACCATGTCAAAAAAAAATGGCATTTTTATAGCTTGCTTGTTAATGTTTCTTCCGTTCCTCGTGGATTATGATTTATGGGCCATTTTATTAGCACTTAAACGTGAGAAAAAATATCTGCCTGTTTATTTATGTTTTTCTAGTTTTGGCTGCAAATACACGTTTTTCGGTTTAAATTTTGATTAATAAAATGACGGGTAAGTCTGAACGTTTTAAATTTTTAAAACCAATGCTGATTTAATCAATTTATATAATGTTTATTTTGAAAAGTAGTTAAATCAAATTATTTTTATTTAGGTAGGTCCTTGAAAATGTTTGATATGTATATAAGAGATATGTGCTCATGTTTATTAGTAATCATAAAATAGTAAATACAATATAAATTGTATTGAAATTAAGATAAATTTCCATGCGGTCGACAGAAAAATCAAGTAATTTATAATTGTGATCGTAATTTTAGAAACCTAAAATACAATTCACATGTATACAATATACTATTAGCTTATGTCTGTATAGGTGATACTCAGCGAATTGTATACATGGCCGTGATCATCAAGCTTTGCCATAATTACTATGAAATGTTGGTGAGAAATTATTTAGACTACCGAAGTGTTTTTTTTTTTTATATAGATAGGAATTTAATGACAGTTGTATTGTCACCTAAATACTGCAGTGGCAGTTACTTATAGGAAATTTAGAAATAGAAAAATATTTTCTAGTTACAAAACGTGTACCTACACATGTGCCATACGGCATATACTCCAAAGTCATAACAGTCATATATTTAGATTTGAATTAATAACTTGTAAAAATAATAAAAACCACAAGCATATACTTAAAAAATTGTGGGTAGGCACTAGTGGCACTACTATAGGTAGGTATTTGTTAGAGACTAATGTGGGTACCTATTATATATTTTTAAAAACTATCTAATATGAACAAAAAATTTAACTTTGAAATTGTATCTAAGCCACCCCGTGTTTCTATCTCTTAATATATATTGTATATTATGATTTCTCTTACAGTCTTACCCACACTCCACCGGCTTCATTAAGTACACACTTAACAGTATGATAACAATGAAAACCGTGGTATATATAATGGTGGAATATAATACAATAACAATGTAACGTGCTATAATATAGTGGGTACATACTACATAATATAATATAACGTACTCGTATAAAAAAAAAATACGCACATCAATGAGACCGCGTGTACCTATACCTAAATAGTGTATGCACGTTGAATATAATATTATATAATTGACTAGACACGACTTAGGTAGGTACTTAACGTTGTTGTAATTCGTCTATATACGACATTATGAAATAACCTTTTTTTGTTATTACTATCATTATCATTATTATTATCGTCTATGCAATCTTTTTAGGATCTTACGATAAAAATATATTCATTATCCTAAGTCAACGGCAAATTTGCAACTAGGTACTGTAATATTTTATAATAACTTGTACGTCTAAAAATACTTCCGCAAATCGTAGACAAATAATAATAATTAGCATCCCAATATCACATATTCCAATCGTGTTTACATAATATATAAAGTACCTATTGGTATACCTACTATAATTGTGCTTAACAAATGTCTGGGAAAGATATATAAAACAATCAAAAAAAAAACATCCGGTAAAAATATACCCTAAGTTTTAAAGACCTTGATTTTGGATTCAATAAATATTATTGACTATATCAGGGATTCTCAAAATGTAATAAACACTGTACCCTTTTTTATCAATTAATTTTGTTGAGTTACTTCTTAGTTATTAAACTAAAATATTTAAAGCATGTTTTCCTTGTTGGTTTGTTGGCCAGACTCGTACACCTTAAAACATTTTGAGTACCCCCAAGGGGTACGCGTACCACAGTTTGAGAATCCCTCGACTATATAATTGTTGAGCTGTAGTAGTAAGACTAAAAGCTAACATAAAAAAGAAATATATTATAGACATATTGAGGAGGCACGTTGTACGTATCCGAAATACAAACACAATTTTATAATACATTTGTGAACTTTAACATAATATGCAATTTACATTTTGAATAATAAATTAGATTGGTTTACCTACCATGTACATTATACATATTAAACATAATATTAAGAAAATATAATAAATAAAAAAGTTCATCATTATTTCTCTTGATTTGTGATGCATATCACTATACCACAATTATAGTCTATAAGTTATAATCTATCTTACAATAATTCATTGCAATGAATAATAATGTACATCAATTATACGTTAATATAACTTTCAATTTTTAAAAAAAAAAGTCAAATCATTTATTTTCAAATAATTTGTATGCAGTAAATGTGTAGGTATTGTATTGGCAATAATTGTAATTTAACAATTCTATGATTGAAATAAATAATAACGCCATTTTAACAATGTTATATCACTTCTCATAAATACCTTCTACTATTGAGGTTGGGCTTTTTATGTATTCTTATATTTAAATAGGTAGTGGTGTTTAAAAATGTAGTTTTGTAAAACGTAGAATGAGTATCAATAGCTCAAGCACATTAATAGATATACTTTTGTCTTTTGCTATTCTTTATGAATTGCTGTTTGTAAGTACATAGGTTTTACAAACAAATTGTTATCGTATAAAAATAGAATATTAATTAATTTTCAGTACAATTATAAGAATATAGAATCTGCCAGATTGTAAATTATTACTGGCTACATGAATATTTTTAAAATAAAAAAAAAAATAATACAGACGGTAATAGATAATAATATTATTTGTACATACCTACCCTCTACTTGTAAGAAAAGTAAGACAATTATTATAATTTCACTAACAGATGAATTACATAACATAAGTATGATGTCCTATCAAATATCTAACCTATCTGTACCTATTATTATTTATATATATGACTACTAAGTCGTGAATAGTACCTACATAGTGGCAATTACTATATAAGATTACAATTTAAAAACGAAACCCGTCTCAGAATTTCACTATATTGTTAAATAATGTTATGCGCCGACAACCGCTTTTAAATTCTGATAACGTCAACAACTTTCTTTGTAGTGGTGTTAAATTTTACGTGACTAGAGTAAGTTACGTTTTTCTTATAACTTACACTTTTATG